TTTATGTGTTTGAGCATATTGTCTGCATATGTGTAAATACACAAGTGTTGTGCAATGCCCACAGAGGTTCGAAGAGAGCATTGAATTCTCCTGGAACTGGAGTTAAAGATGGCTGTTAGCTGCCACGTGGGTGCTGGGAATCAAACCCAGGTCCTCTGCAAAAGTAGTCAGTGCTCTTAAACACTGAGCCATCTCTCCAGCCCCTGCTCCTAACTCTTAAATGCCTCTGACCATTGTCACCATCTTCAGCATCTCTACGCAATCCAGACCCACTTCACTTCTCCCATTTTAAGGGGATAGTAATGGTGACACAACATCCGCTTGTGTGACACAAGCCAGTCTCCATCAAGCTGCTGCCATGAAAGTGTCTGAAGAACCAAGCCCCACTTTCTGATCCCTCAGCCACATCCAGCAAGGTGGTCCATGCACCATTAATAAACTGGTTGGATTACATTAGGTTAAATGATAGTATGTTCATTTTAAAAGTTCTTATATCATAGTGAGTTAAAGAGAAAAATTCCAAAGACTACAGGTTGGGCATCTCAAAATAATTAATAATAATAGCAATAATAATAATAATAAATATTTTAAAGAAGTAATAGGGCTAAAAGTGATATGTCTGAAGTAAGAAGTAGGAAAGAAGGGAAGAATAGCAAGACTAAAAGATGCCAGGGATTCTAGAAATGTGTGCCACTTTTGTCAAAACCCAAATAATACACCAGGATGACTGACTTATATTTTATTTCCTCTGAGGTCATTAGGAGTTTATAGATGCTAAATCACCTCTAGGCTACATTAGCATCTTTAACGTATAACCAGGCTTGTACTCTACCTTTCTCCAATGCCACCCTCGTCACTACCTGATTGTAAGTTCAACCCCAGTGCTCAGCTTCTCTGATGATAGGGGAATGAATCTTCCTGGAGGAAAAATAACCAAGTAATCCTTCCTTTCCACCACACTTTGAAACTATACTCTAGGTAGAGCCTAGTCTTGCACAGTTCTGCCCCTGAATGGTTATGGCCCTGTCACTTGAGCCTGGAATTGACTTCTTTTCCTAGAACCAAAAGCCTCAAAAAAACCTGACTGGATTCTCCAACCATTTCTGTTTTTCTTCTCTAGGACCTTCCTATCTGTCCAAAAGGCTTTCCTTGAGTGTTTGTTCCCCTTTGTGTATCATTTCCTGCAGTCTTGCCAGTAAACATCATCCTGAAATAACTGTCTCACAAGCTGGCACCTGCTTCGAGTCTCACTGATTTTAATTTATCACTTTATCAACTATCTCAAAGAATTTTCTCTTCAAATATTTTTCTTCTCTTCTGACTCCTCCTTCTCCTGACTTGTAGTTCTTCTATTTATATGCTCTTTCTCTCTTTTTGTTTCTTCTACTGCATCTCTCTCTCCTCTTTCTGCTCTTCTCCCTTCCCTTTCTTTCCCTCCCTCCCTCTCTCCTATCCTCCTGCCCTCCTTTCCTTCCACACCCTCTTCATCTGTACAAATCTCTGTGATTTTTGCAGTAATTAATTCTCACAAAGCACATGTTTACATTTAATATGGCGCCAGACTCTCAAGACAAATGCACTTTCATATCCAAACACACTTTGGAGAGAAAGATTATTGCCATCAAGAGAGATGCCTAAGAGGCAAACATTTAAGAAACTAGTTGGAAAGAGAAGCGCTCAAGCCAAAATAAGAGAAAACTCTTTATGCCCTTGGCAGACTCAGAAGGCATTCTGACCTCTTCTAAACACAATGTGTTACAAAAGTGACAGATGCAAAAGATTTAGGTCCACAGTGTTATGAGATATCCACAGCCTAATAAAAGCTAGCAGAGCAACTCAGAGAAATAATACAGAGATGTCAGAGGGAGATGGATATAAAAGTGTGTCAGAAACTGCTTGACTCTGCTCTTTTAAATACCAGACTCAATATGCACTTGGCTAGTATTTTCTATATAAAATTCAATATCTTAACTTTATAACTAAAAATTGCTTTCTTATCCTAAAACTGTTAACATGGAATTTCACCATTCCATTCATACTCATTTTGCTACAAGATATTTCACATATAACCTTTCTGTATTCGTTATGTGTTCTTTCAATATCCTGAACTCCAAAGTTTTTTTCTTTGAATTCATTTTTTAACCCAATTCCTATTACAATTCTCGTCTGTGCTATCTCTACCTACACACGCAGATGTGCACATGAGAAAATGTAATTTCACACCAAAAGAACTCGTCCAGTTCTAAACTAGAGGGAATTAAACAATATAGTCACCATTTCTCATCTGTTAAATCTCAGCTTAAATGCTAACTCTGCAAAAGTCTTTCTTGGGAAAGATCCTGTAGTTATTCTAGATCCTAGTGGCCTGTTTATTTTCTCCATGAAGTTACTAATAGTTTGAAAACTAATTGTTCACTGGCTCTTGTAATAATATAACCTTCATGAAGACAAAACCCAGGTCTCTAGAGGTTTGTGATTATTTAATCAATAAATAAGCAAAGGTTTTTAGTTCTCTGTAAGTATATAAGTATATATGACAAAAAGGAATTTAAAAAAAATCAGCTTGCTACCCCAATTCCCTTATATGAACACATGAACTAAGCCAACATTAACAGAATAGACATTAAATAAGGAAATGGAAATCTCAGGTAACAGAAATTAACGGAAACACTTTCTCCATGATATTTTGAAATGGGACCACAGGTTGGAAAGTCCTCTATTGCTGTGTGGTATTACCATAAACTTAGCGGCTGGGAGCAGTGCCTATTCATTTCAGTCATGGGTATGGGAAAGACTTACCTGGGTCCTCTCATCCGCAATACCATATGAGTGCATCGGAAACTTCTGTCAGGACTGTAGTCTCAGCTGAGGATTGAGTGGGGAAGAACCTATTTCCCAGCCTGCATGGTGGCTAGTAACTCAATCTTCTGTCAGATGTTACACTGAGGACCTCAATAACTTTCTGGTTTTGTGCAGAAGCTACTCTTGGTGCCTTTCTATGAAGGCTTTCTCCAATATACCTGCTTCTTTCCTCAAAATCAACAGAAGACAGTCTTGTTGCAAGATCAGATTTGTAGTCTTTTCTAGCTTTACATCACATTACCCTTGTCACAATCTGTTGGGTAGAAGAAAGCCACAGGCATTTTGATACTCAAAGTGAGGGCATCACAAGTAGTATGGTTTAGAAAAGTACCCCCAAAGGCACATGTGTTGAAGGCCTAGTTGCCAGCCTATTGGGAGGTGATGGAACTTTAAGAGATGAGGCCTATTGGGGGGACATGCCATTGAAGGAATACTGAAACATTATCTGTCTCTTGTCTCTTTTCTTGCCTTAAATGAATAGTTTCCTCTTTCACACTCTCCTTCAATGATAGGTTATATCTTCACAAGCCCCAAAGCAACATAGCCAATTAACTAATGAACCTCCTAAACTATAAGCCAAAATAAACCTTTCCCCCTTTATAAACTGATTTTATAAGTTCGGGTAATTTGTCAGAGTGATGGGAAAGCTAGCTAATACCCAAGAGTAGGTTTTCCAGAAGGCAGACATCAAGAAGGTACTGCATAATCTATCCATCCCAAACAGAGTAGTCCTTCAGAGCTTGGTTTTTGTCATGTTAATAAATAAAATATTCCTGATGGTCAAGAGTATTTGCAACCTCACCAGTTTCTCTAGTATTCTATGAATAAGGCAGTAAAATTACTTGTATGAGTAGTTTAGGTGGCAGGGCTATTTTCTTCAATACTGGGGATTGAACCTAGAGACTCATGCATTATAGCAGGTACTCCATCACTGATTATGTCACCAGCCTCAGCAGCAGGGGTTGAAAATTTTTAATAGAATATTTTTATTAATTCTTGGAGGATTTCATAGAATATAGTTTGATCATATTCGACCTCCACTTCTTACCTCTAACTCCTCCTAGGTCCACCCTCATCTCCCTCCCCTCTCCCAACCTCAGGTCCTTTATAAAAAAATAATCCATTGAGTCCAATATGGGCTGCCCATATATCTCATGGATATGGGGCTATCCACTGGAGTGTGCTCAACCAACCAGGGCTGTGGCAGGGGTTTTGATGGTGCCTTATGACAAGACAGCAAATCAAAGAACTGTGCTTGTCTTCAGCATTTTCTCAAAGGCACATGGAATAAATAAGCTAGATTCTGCAGATGGTGTAAAAAGCATCTAAAGGATTCTATGTAAAAGACACCAAATGAAAGCCAAAGTTGTGTGCAGGAGGCTGTCACAATCTCTCCTTCTGTCACCTTCTGAATATGATTAACTGTGGGTAGAATATATGCCCTTGACCCTCACTTTGAGCTCAGTTGTGTTGTCATAATCAAGCATATGTGCACAGAGATGAAAGTCCATGGTTCTGAAGAGGCTGTAAGAATAGCAAGGGTTTTAGTTTGCCACTTTTCCCCTCTGCTACCCACCACAAGAATAACTCATCACAGAGCAAGAAGGCATGCCAGCCCAGCAAAGCTCAGCAGGGCTATAGTCAACCCTGGGACCTATAAATAATAAACAGAAATTTATTGTCATAAGCCACTGAGTTTTTCATTAAGCAATGTTGTATCAGAAAAAAAAACCTTGGTGAAAATTATAGAATCTTCACAGTAACTAATGGATACAAGAAGTAACAGCCTAGTATAGCATTAAAATGTCTACTTCAGGATACAAATGTTTCTATTTATTCTTATATTCTCCTTTCCGATCTCTAAAACCATGACCTTTTTTTCCTGGAATGACCTCCACTCCATTGCTACCCCATCTGAGTTTAGGATATGGTAAACGTCAGACAAGCCAGGTAGATAGAAGCCCACATATTGCCTTTATTATCATTGATTTATCATCATTATTGATGAGAAATGCCTCAGTGTGAGACTCAAAGGGTTTGGCCAATATGAAGCCCTGAGTTAAGCTTCACACTCAAGTCCAAGCAGAGAGAAAGAATTAAAACAGCTACTCACAAAGACAAGGATCTCCTCACCAGACCTCAACACACTGCAGAGACACACTGGGCTGAGCCCCTTCTCCCAAATCCACCAGTCTTCACCTCCTCACATGGTGGGGAGACAGACCAAAGCTACTAGCCTAAGGATGTTTCTGAAAGGAAACAGAAGTGGAAATTATTTGTTATTGCAGAAACACTGATCTCTCATGTTTCAGTATTTTCACAATATCCTAGTTATACATTAGAGTTACTTGGTAGTCAAACTTGTATTAGTTACTTTTTTGTTGCTGTGATAAAGCACCATGACCAAGGTAGCTTATAGAAGAAAAAAAAATTATTTAAGCTTACAGTTCCAGAAGGATAAGAGTCCATCATGATGGGAAGCCAAGACAGAATGCAAGCATGTTAGCTGGAGCATGGTGCTGAGAGTTCACATCTTCAACAGCAAAAACAGCAGAGAGAGTGAACCAGAAGTGGGATGAGGCTATGAACTCTCAGAGCCCAGCCCCAGTGACATACTTCCTCCAGCAAGGCCACACCTCTTGAAGCCCCACAAGTAACACCACCATTGTTTAAATACATGAGCCTATGGGGAACATCACAAAGGCGCTTATGTCTTTACCTGCCCCTGACACTAAACTGTGGCTCTGTGAAGAGAAGAGACCACAGGTCAAAATTCCTATGGTATACAGTTCACATAGGAGATAGATATGGAGGAAAGTATAAATTGGATGCTTATGCTCTTTCCTAACATGACTTCTTTGCCAATCAATCCATGAGAAATAATTAAAGGTAGGAAAGTTACAAGGTAAATGGAGGACAAAGAAGTAGAGTTGCACTTGAAGCAACACCTAGGAAGTCACGGGTCCTCCTGATGATTAAAGAAGGAACACCCATTGCCTAGAACTCTGACACTTTAGTACCAGTCTCTTGAATTGGTGCCTGGGCAAACTCTAACTTCTGGAAATACCTGTGAGGACTTCCCTTTGCTGTGTTAGCTCCATGCAATTACAAGCATTGCTGATAAAATCATAGTTAATATGTCAAACATAAAAGTAGTCTGTCTATCTGGCTTAATAAAATATGCATAAATCTCCACAGGTGATTTGAGTGTGTTACTTGACTATAACATACTCAGAAATACATTCCTAAATTTCCTACCAGATTTTCTGACCCACTGTGTGTCACTTATATATAAAAATTAGCACGAGACTACTTTCTAAGGAGCAAACTCACAACAAAATCACCATCCATCCACGCAGAGATGAAAAGTCCTGCATTTCTTCCCAATAAAAAGTTCATTTCTGTTCCAAAGCACAGTAACTGAAAATTCCTAAGCTGATCGGAGAATGTTTCTTTCTAAGAATCATTTCCAGATTCATAAAAGTGAGAGGTATTGAGCTCAGAGTCAGTGATGCAAAACATGTGCCCAAGGAGGAAATGTACTATAATCATAAGGTATCCAGCAAGGACGATCTGCAGACAAGTATGACCTGTTCCCCAATCAGGCTAAATAGAAGCTTTCATCAGTCCACTTGATGCACTGATTGAAAGAAATTGCAGTCTGCAAAAGGTCAAGAAAGTGTACCTTCTAGCTCTCATGATCTCAAAAGTGCCAAAATCAGGGACAAAGGAACACGGACTTTATAGAAAATAAGAAATTCTAATCATCCCATTTCCTACCAAGTGTGGTAAAAGTTAAATGTGGTCAAGAATAAAATATTAGCTGTCTGGCCTAGAATCTCAGATTGTATTGAAAACAATAGCAAATAAGATGATCATCCACAAGTTCCCAGCATCAGAGGCACAGGCTATTGCTGCATTTTATTTCATGACTCTGAGTCATGAGTTCTTTGTGCATATATGCTGTGTGTTAGAATCACGTCAGAGCCAGGGAAGATGTTGAAATCACTTAGGTCACCTCCTAATGACACACCCCAACCTGCCATTCACACTTCATAAACAAGTTTCCTGAAGTCCAAAGAGACATGAGAACTGTCTTCTAGCTGAATAGGTTTGCATTTGAGCTAAAAGATGCAGCATTCCTGCAAGCTCAGCTCCACTAGAGACAGGCTAGTGTGGGTACTGAGCACCCCACATGGAGACCCAGAAAGAACAGGCTGGTATTTTGACACTGACATTCATTACCTATGAAAACTTGAATAGACCATTTTGTACTAACCAGTTCCTCATGTGTGGAATGGAAACAATATGTACCTCATAGCTGAATTCAGTAAAATGTTATTCTGAAATTACTACTGTGAAATATTACATAACTTAGCACATAGTAAATTACTACTATTACTGTTGTTATTCTTTGTCTTTTAGCAGCATAAATGTAGGCTGACCCACCTCCTGGTTCTGGTAGATCCCCTGGTTAGGGGTCACAGCCTCATTTTGTCCCTAGAGGGTCAGTTAAAATGCTTTCTCACTCCACATGGAGACTGTGACCCCTAACCCTCATCGTATGAATACCTGTGTTCTTTCTACTTGGTTCACCCTCATTTTTCCTACCTAGAAAAGAAGTTACCAACACACATCCTCTTAACTCGTCTTTTGGAGTTCCTTTTATTTACTCGTCTAAATATACCTAATCTAATATCTTTCCCTGTAGCCAAATGAGCTTGTCTATCCTTTTCCATCCTGTTTAGAACCTTACTCCATTTTCAGCCCTCTCTTCTGTCCTCAGCATCTCATACCCTCTCTTCTCTGTTTATCCTTCCTTTTCCTTCAAAACCTCCTCCATGCTAAGAAAAGATACAGTAATTACAGGCCCTCAGTTCACAGGAAAATGAACCTCTTCCCCTTATTTTGGCTTGATTTTGTTTGGTTGGTTAATTTTCTGTTCCTGTCAACTATCTTCTAAGGACAAGATGCATGGCTCCCATCTTCAACTCTTATCATCTTCTTTCCACCACTGTGAAGGTGGAGGTTCTACCTGGGGCACTTGGTGCCTCCTAATTGCCTGACCCAAAGCCTTGACCCTTTCTTCCTGGGGCCTCATGACAGCAATAAATTCTGTTCTCCTGAGAACCTTCTTTCATCTCTCTCTCTGTCTCTCTTTCTGTCTCTCTCTCTCTCTCTCTCTCTCTCTCTCTCTCTCTCTCTCTCTCTCTCACGCACGCACTCTATTTTTTTTTACGCCCACCTGGGAGTCAGACCTGCCTCCCTGTCGCACTCAAATCCTTTTCCCTACCTCAGCTCCCTTCCCTTCCTCGCTCCTGCCATCTTTTGCTTTCCCCTAACATCTCATCTTTTCTCTCTCTCTCTCTCTCTCTCTCTCTCTCTCTCTCTCTCTCTCTCGTGCACGCATACTCCACTTACTTTTCAGAGACATCCTTGTGGTTGCCAATTCTGTTTAGTAACTCCGTCAGTGCTGGTTAAACACAGAGCTCCATCTCTCATTATCCTGTCCTTTTATAACCTGATTTTATTTTTCCCAGTTCTATTTACCTCCCATTCATCACTCTCCACTACTTCTTACCTGCATTCCAGTTCTATCTAGTGTCTCTAAAGCACCTCAGACATAAAACATGCATAAAAACACATTTCCACTCTCATCCCTACAAGTCTAGTAATGGAGTGTATCCAGCCATTGGCCCAAGAGCTCCCCACTTCCCTATCCTTTAAAGGGCCTCTCCTATTTCAGATGGAAATGAATACACTGCAGACTCCTCTTCCTTCCTCTCCAGATCCTCTTCTCTATTCTCACAGCCATTGCTTTATTAAGCATCTCGTTATTTCAGAGCTAGGCTATTACACATGGTCTCCAGCATGGTCCTCACTGGCCCTCCTGTCTCCACCTCAGCCTCAGTTCAACCCCTATCTACTAACCAGCACAGGAAGGCAATAGGAATATGAGTCTTTGTCTCCTGGATTATCACATAAACTCTACCTTGTATAAACTGGCATAGTTACCTTTTCAGAATCCAGCCCCACCTATCTCTGTGGTTCCCCTTCTTCCCCCAAACCATTGACTAGCCATGCTCAATACTTCACCATTCCTAAGCACATGGCACTGTCACAAGTCTTGATGCTATATAAGCAAGAATCATTACCTGAACTATCACTCCCCTCCTTCTCATCCTAGTATCACCTTCAGGGGCCATCTCAGTTGTCACCTCCCTGTGAGTTATCCCAGAGAGCCCCTAGCAGAACATAACATAGCACTTTGCTCATGCCTTTCAGAGCTCTTACATGGAAGCACAGTACTAAACCACATTCAGCTATTGGCAGCCCTTCATGGTAGGAATTATCCCCTTTCTCTTTTTGTCTTTAATATTTTAATTGAGTTTTTGTGCATTTCATACAATAGTTCTTAATCAAATTTAGATTCCTTCCCCCATCTATGCCCCCCAACCCTGGACCTCATTAATTCTGTCATATATGTTAAGTCCTAGTTGTTCAAGTATTCGTATACAGACGTCCTTCAGTGCAAGTTCATCCACTTGAGTCTAGTCAGCCTATCTAAAGACTTTAAAGAAAATCTACTCTCCCTTACCCAGCAGCAATCAACTGTCAACAGTTCCTGCCACCTATTTCCCTCGTTCCTTGTTGGGCTCTTGTCTGATTGAGTCAGCATAGGTCTTGTGCATGATGCTACCACTGTCGTAAGTTCACATGAGCAAGCTTCCAGTGGCCTGAAAGCCTTTGTTTCCCTATATCTATGAACAAACCCTGGCTCTTACAGTCTTTCCACCTCCTCTTCCTCAATGGTCTCTGAGCCATGGGTGGGTGAAGTTTAATACAGGAGTCATACTGTGGGACACAAACACTCTGTTGTATAAGAAAGCTTCATTGGTGAGAACTGAGCAATACACTAGTGGAATTATCCCTTTTCATATTTTATTACAGCATCTATTAGGAAATTCACATATGTTAAATGATAAAATAAATTATTTCAAGATAAATGAATAGTGGAATACATATTCCATGACATAACTGAGCACAGTCAATACAGCAGTAGAGCAATGGAGGAAACTTGGGGTGGAGGGTGTCCAGCCACAGGTTTCCCCTGACACAGCTGCAGAGTAGCGCAGGAAACATCCAAACATCCTGCCTATACCATCTTTCCACAGCTCTGACAAATCCTGGAGACAATTTAAGAGAAGGAAAAATTTATTTTGGTTCATAGCTCAGAGAATTTAGTCTA